ATTTTCTTTGTGATTTAGGACTTTGGCTCCTCAGACCTGAAACAAACAGGCCACTGCCAATCTGCCTTGGAGTACAGCTGATGGAGTAGAAATAAATCCCTGAGATTGCTGGTGTGAGTTAAAACAGAGTTTAAAGAGGTTTCAGTGACATTTTCAGCTTGGTGCCTGTCTGGCTGCTGGTCTGACTTGCTCAGCTTAGTGCTGAGAGAGAAAGGAGAGGAGCAGGCAAGTAAAACACATTAATTGGATTTATCTGATGATTGGACGTGCTCAATTTTACAGCACTTATCAAAGCAGCCTGGAAAAGAAGAGTGTGTCTTCATTCAGCTCTGTTCTTCCAGCCTCTACGTGTGTATGCAGTTTCCCCTGTGGTCTTTTTGGCCCTTTTTTGGCTCTTTCTGTAGACATTTTCCCCCTGTTCTGACCTTTGGAAGCCTACAAGCTGAAGAACTGTGATGATTTAAAGAAAGCAAGTGCAGATCTGTTTTCTTTGAACATAACAATTAGATTTGCAGAAACTTGGGGACTTTGAAGTTACTTATGTGCTGCTGTCACTGTTCTCTAAATTCCTAAACAGGAGGGGGATTGCAGAGAGAATGGATTACAAACTCATTATGACTGAGGGAGAGAGCTACAAATAACAACATTTTCTGACTGAAAAAAACACTTTTCTGAAGGGGGAAGAGGACAGTTCAGTCACCCTCTGTCACTGCATTGTCCTGGAGTGACAGTGAGGGGCTGGGAGGGGGAAAAAGGAGCTGGGCAATCCCAAACCTCCAAAGCACCCCAGGCTCTGCACTGCTGGGTGAGTCAGGCTAAGGCTGAAGTCTTCAAACTTCTTGTTTTTAATGATTTTAAATCTGTTTAGTTAATTAATTAATTTTTCATTAATAAATTACAATTTCTAAATAGTGCTGCTGCCTCCTGGAGGAAGGTGGGAACAGCCAGTTACTCTGAGCTGTGCCAGTGTAGATCCTGTGTTTCACTGCTCCTTTCCCAGGTGAGCTCAGAATTTCTGTCTGTGCCCTCACAGGCATTTCAGCTAACATCCAGGGATGTGTGTGAGGCAAGCTCCATTTTGTCAAAATCCTGAAAAGTGCTTAGTTCTACAAGTGCTGTATTAAAATGAAGCAGGGGCTCAGCAGCTCTCACAGGGCTGCAGCTTTTCCTCTCTGCAATTAAAATTGCTGCAGCAGACACTGATGGACTGTCACTGCAGAAATCCCAGCTAGATTGTCCTCTCAGGGAAGCTTTTTCTCATATAAGCAGAGAAGGATTTAATTTAACAAGGAAACCTAAGGAATTGCAGACTAATCTCCACAACCTTATATTTCTTCCCTAATATATATATATATATATGTTATAAAGGTTTTTCAAGATCAGACCTTGGCACAAAAAAAAATGCTGCCATCAGATCTATTAGAAATAATGACTCTGTAAGAGATAAATTTGTGCCTCATCGACTGGAATGTGAAGATATTTCCTTCCTTGGAATTGCTTGAGCTACAGGAATTGGAGAGCAAACATTTCATGCAGTATGATCCTTTCCCAAGTCAAT